CCCCAAAACCCCAAAACCCCAAAACCCCAAAACCCCAAAACCCCGAGGATAAGAGTGATTAGAATTAAAATATTAATCATAATATTATTTTATCAGCCGTGTAAAAAATATTTAAATATGCTATAGAAATTTAGTAAGACAAATCATATTCTATAATGCTCATTGAATAATCTGAAAGTATGATAATCATATAACTTCTAAACTGCTTCTTAGAGGGAGACTCCTACTGTCCAGAATAGATAGTTTAGTTCAAAGTTGAGAAAAGAAAATGTACAAAATATTTCTAAGACAATTAAGAGTATATCAATGAAGCAAAGTCTAGATGCTTACCGAGCACGCTATTTCGGCAGATCTATATTTTAGAATAATGAAGTATGGCATCTGAGTTATAATTATTAATAGAGAAATTTCAGTTCATTCTTTAGAGCTATTACTGGAGAAAATGTGACAAAGTTATTGCAGTATCAGCATAAATTCGAATAGAATCCTCAAAACATTGAATCAGCTTTCTATTATTTTAGAGTAAATCTACCATTTCAAAAGCTTGCTTAATTAACCAAATTATATCTAGGAGTTGAATAGAAATGGTCATTATCCGACAGTGGTGAGACTCTACAATAAGCATGAATTGAGTTATTCAATCAGCAATTAGGTCAAGTATTTTGATAAAATTAGATAACAATACGAATATGCCAAGGAAAACATTGAAAGTCTGAGAAAAAATTCAGGCAGCAATGAATTCAAATCCCTTAACTTAAAAGAAAATTTACAGAATGTTTTTATTACAAAGTTTTTTGATTTCATTAAGAAAGTCATATTCGTTGGAGTCGGATTCTTCGCTTTTACTATGATTTTTAAGCAGGTAAATATTCTATGAGTTTATTTAATGGTTATAGTTCGATAACAAATCGTTTATGGAAAACTATAAGTTTGATGTCAAGAAAGCAAAGGACATTCCATAGAAATTAAGTGATGTTAGAGGAATAGATGAAATAAAGGAGGAAGTAGAGAACTTAATCAAGATGCTTAAAGAGCCAGAGAGATATCATTAAAAAGGAGCAAATTTGCATAAAGGTGTGTTGTTATATGGTTAACCTGGTACTGGTAAAACTCTCCTTGCAAGATCAATTGCAGGTGAGGCTGGCTGTCAGTTCATCTATTGTACTGGGTCTCATTTCGATGAGATGTTTGTCGGAGTTGGTGCAAAAAGAATTAGAGAGTTATTTAATGAAGCAAAGAAACATAAGCCCTGCATCATTTTTATTGATGAAATCGATACGCTTTTATCAAAGAGTAGAAGATTCAATTCAGAACATAGTTCATCAAGAGCTACTATCAATTAACTACTAACAGAGATGGATGGTTTCGAGAAAACAGAAAATATTATGATTATTGGTGCAACAAATCATGAAGATGCATTAGACCCCGCTGCTGTGAGACCTGGTCGTTTTGATAAAAAAATTCATGTACCCCTACCAGATGTGAATGGCAGAGAAGACATTTTCAACTTCTATTTAGGGTAAATTGAGAAAAGCGAAGAAATATCAGCTAAAAAGCTGGCTCAAATGACTCCAGGGTTTAGTGGAGCAGAGATTGAAAATTTAGTTAACACAGCTATCACTGAGGCAGTGCATATTGGAAAGTATGACTTATTTAAACAACAATTTTTATTAGAGATAAAGCAGATCTAGCTGATTTTGAGTATGCCAGAGACAGAATTATGATGGGTATTGAAAGAAGAAAGTTGAGCATGTCAGATAGAGAGAGACTTAATACAGCAATTCATGAAGCTGGTCATGCTATTGCTTGTTATTTTAGTAAGGGTGCAAAGAAGCTCTATAAAGCAACAATTGTTGCTAGAGGTAGTAGTTTAGGAGCTGTAAGAAACTATTATAATAACAAATTTAGACTTACATGGTTCCTGAGGACACAGTTTCAATGACAAAGGAGAAAATACTTGCTGAAATTGATGTAGCTATGGGAGGTCATGTTGCTGAAAAATTGATCATAGGAGAGAATAAAATAACCTCTGGATGCTCAAATGATCTTCAAGGAGCTACTAGCATGGCTTACAGAGCAGTAAGGTACTTTGGTATGTATGGAGAATCTGCTGGTTTCATCGCCAGTGACCCAGACTAAACAAGTGAGAAATACAATGCTATGATCGACAAACAAGTAAAAGAAATCTTAGATGTAAGTCCAATTCACATAAACAAAGTATAGAAATCATTTGAAAGAGTAAGTGGCTTGATATTGAATAAGGAGAGAGAGCTTAGAGAACTTGCCAAGAATCTGTTCTACTATGACTACCTAGATGCTGATGAAATAAAAAATGTTATTGAGGGAAAGAAATTATCAAAGGATAAGGTTAGAAAGTGGGAGGACAAAGATCCCTATATCATAAAGTTTTGAAAATTCTCTAATATTTAATCTCTATAATTAACTTTACTTCTCTAATAATTAAATGTATATTTATGCACGGGGTTTTGGGGTTTTGGGGTTTTGGGGTTTTGGGGTTTTGGGG